CCACAGGGAGTCAGTTTGGTAGAATGTTGGTGGGTTACCATCCTACAGGTCCTTCATCCCCTCCTCCCCATTTCTTGGCTCCCCTGCTGGGCCAGAAAGATATGCTTATTGCACGGTACTTCAGCAAGTGTAGGTAACAGCAGGTATTAGTTAGCAGCTACAGTAGACAGAGGGCTTGACTGCTCAGAGACCAGCTGCTCTCTCACACCACACAGTCGCCACTAGGCTTCTGGATCTCAGACTGGGTTGGGCTTCATCTCACCTTCAGAGGGCCCACAGCGCTTGCGCTGCTTTGTGCTGAGCCGGCCCACAGGGCTGAAACCTTGTTCACTCCACCAGCAGGCGGGACCAGATTTCTTTTCCTGACAGTTCCTACCTTTCTCCTCAATTCTGGTTTCCTTCCTTTTCTCTCCTCCCTCCCTCCCTCCCTCCCTCCCTCTCTCCTTCCCTTCCTTCCTTCCTTCCTTCCTCCCTCCCTCCCTCCCTCCCTCCCTCCTTCCCTCCCTCCTTCCCTTCCTCCCTCCTTCCTTCCTTCCTTCCTTCCTCCTCCTACTTCTGTCCTCCCTTCCCTCCCTCCCTTTATCTTACCCTTGTTTCTTTCCTTCCTCCCTCCCTCCTTCCCTTCCCTTCTTCTGTCTTCCCCTCCCTCCCTTCTTTCCTTCCTTCCCTTCTTTCCTCCTTCCTTCTTTCCTTCTGCCTTCCTTTTCAGCTAGTTCACAGCATTCTTTTCCTGTACCACTCTCTATGTGGTGGCCAAGAGTTTGTTCATTGTCTTGTGACACCCGTGATCACAGGGGTGTTTGACAGTGTGTACCAAGCTAAGGTCTATTAAATACCAGCCCTCCAAAACTTTTCATGCAGAAAAACTCTGGGGCTAAATAGCTTTGGGAATCTTGCTTGTGATAAGCCCCACTACCCATTCCCATAAGAAAGTCTTAAGGAAGTCCTGTGATCAGGAACCCCTTGAAACTTTCTTTTCAAGCTCCCCACACTTTTTGCCAAGGGAACCCTCCTGAGTAGCAGCCACTGACATGCAGTAGAAGCAGTTTCTGTGGGACCCACTCTTGGACATCAGACTTGATGCTGTCCGAGGCTGCCTCCACATCTAGAGTTCTAGTTTATTCATTCGCTGACAGCTCCCTTCAAAGGCCTATGGGCCTTGCATGGCAGGAATGAGGTGCCAGGCAAGTAACACTCAGTGGAGGAGAATGGGAGAAGGGAGTTATGGTGGTGAGAAATCCCTGATGGCTGCGAGCCCCTCTGGAGTTGAACCTGGAGGGCGTGTGGATAAGGGACAGGGAGAGGAGTAGGCACTGATAGCTATCCCAATTTATCTTTTTGTATGTGGCCCTGGCTATAGCAGGGATGGTTTTCAAAAGCATTGTTCAGTAGGTATTTTTCACTGAAAAATGTTCTGAGATTGACAAGTAGGATGGGAAGGGCCAGGCTGGTTAATTCTGTGGCATAGATGTGCTCCCTTCTCATAATGGAAAGAACATCTTTAGCAGTCTGTCCAGTGGATAGGAAAACCATGTAATCAGGATTAGCTGTGAGCTCATACCTCTATAATAAATGAATGCTCTGTGGGTGAGAATTCATGTAACAGTTTTAATTAAGATAACTGCAGGGGAATGGGAAGGACCCCTTAGTAAGTGACCCTAATGAATGGATGACGCGCTTCCCTGCCCCTCCCAGGAAAATGAGACTCAGCCACTAATTGGTGTAATTAGCCCTGGAAGTTAAAAGATTTCCCCCTTTTTTCCTCCTTTCTTTAGCTTTAGAGTGCCTGGGCTTTTTGGTTTTGATTGCTTGGTCACCCCTTCTTTCCTCTATGAAAGGTCAGGTTGCTTTGGCAGCTTATCTGAACCCCCTTTTCAGATGGTAATTGGGAGCCTGAATCTGGTCCACAGGACTGCACCACCTGGCTGGGGTAAAGTTGGAGTCAGAAGTTAGTCTCTGCCTCTTTCAAAACCCTTGCTAGGATTGGTTTGAATGTGTTTTTAGGAAGTTCTAGGGTAAGTTTGAATTTATATTTGATAGAAGGCTCTTAACTTTTTTTTAAAAGAAGTCAGCTCAAAGCAGAGCAGAAGGATGCAATGAGGTGTGTGTTGCTATGGAAATAATTGAATGAAAACTTAATTTCCTACTATACTTATTGACCAGGAAAAAAAGAGAGAGGAGAAAAGGAGAGGTCTTCCTAAGCAGAAACACACTGACTGATAATGTAATTAATAATAATTGAGGAATAAGTCACCCCAAGGGTTTCTCCAAGGAGGCTGATCTCCCTGACAGAAATGGTGGCATCCTCTTTTAGCTGCCTTTTTGTGATGGGGCAGAGTGTGCAGGCGAACCCCAGGGACTTGAAGCTCTGAGAAGCCTCTGACTTGAGCTCCCAGAGAAAGTGAAAAGATGCTTTGTGGTTCATGGAGAAACCAGCTCCGGGGCACCGGGGATGCTGCTCTGAAGGGCTTTTGATGCCAGGTTGGTTTAAAGTTCAAAATCCAAAACAAGCTTCTTTGAGAAGTTCTTGCTCTAGTTCTTCTTTGAGAAGTTCTTACTCTAGTAGGTTTCAGAGTGAATTCTTTCAATGGTGTTCTATTAAAATTCAAGGACATGGGTCGCATGAAGCATTAGTGGGCAGATTCTTTACATATTATACAGAAGGAATTGGCACTAACATGATTTATGTCTTCAAATCTTATTCTAATTTTCTATCCCCTTACATATAGTAATAGATAAGTCTGGGTCATATTTTTGTTTTCCTAACAGTGAGTGCTACTTCTTAATTAATAGTACAACTTCATTTGCATCTGTGTCTGATGGGAGCATCAGCTGATGGGGTTGTCAAGTCATAACTGAGAAGCCCTTTCCACCTTAAGCCAGTGGCAAAGCTTGGCTGCATAATACAGTTGCCTGTGAGCTTTGTAAAATCGCAATATCCAGGCCACACTCCCAAACCAGTTAAAATAGAATCTAACAGATGGGACTCAGGCATTAGTTCTGTTGTTGTTGTTGTTTTTGAGACAGAGTCTTGCTCTGTTGCCCAGGCTGGAGTGCAATGGAATGATCTTGGCTCACTGCAACCTCCACCTCCCTGGTTCAAGTGATTCTCCTGTCTCAGCCTCCCGAGTAGCTGGGATTACAGGAGCCTGCCACCATGCCCAGCTAATATTTGTATTTTTAGTAGAGACAGTGTTTCACTATGTTGGCCAGTCTGGTCTCCCAACTCCTGACCTCAGGTAATCCACCTGCCTCAGCCTCCCAAAGTGCTGGGATTACAGGTGTGAACCACCGCGCTCAGCTCAGTTTTTTTTTTTAAAGCTCCTCAGGGGATTTCACAGTGCGGGGTTGACAGCCATTAATGTAGATGGAGTTAAACAAAACTCTGTAGGGCTGGTGGGCCTCCTATGTGATAGTCCATGTTAGAAAAATCCATTTCCCCGCCCAGAACCCCTTCCACGTCTTCGTAGGGCTCCATGGTCCCAATGGGGCTAAAAGCTCAGGGTCCTTTCTGCCTTCCTTCCAGTGGTGTGCCAGTGTTTAACAACCCACTCCAGGGAATGAACAAAGCCCTGATGTGTAGCACGTGCTGATATCCAGATTCTGTAAATACTCACACCACAGTCTCCTCATCCTACCAAGGGGCCCTCACCTAGCATGGAGTTGGGAGATGTGCACAGCCATCTCCAGACACCAGGGCCTCGTTCCCAGCTTCACAGTTCCTCACCCCTCCTCTGTGTCCATCCCAAGTAGCTCATTCACCCTTAGGTGCTGTTCCAAGTTTCGAGTCATCTAGAAAAATCCTTTTCTGCTTGTGTGATATGCTGGCTTGCCCCATGTGGGTAACATAACACTGCTTCCCAGTTACAGTGTAGATAACCGCTGGAAAACACCATGGGAATGTGCCTGAGGCTGGAGATGTTTAGAAAATTGGCATTCTGGGTTATACTTTACCCTGTGAAGCTAAGGTGAATTGTGCTACATACACGGCACAGGGGGTTTCTGAGCCTGCAGGGCAGAAAGCCGGTCTCTGAGTCAGGACATACTCACCAAGGTAACAAGGGGACTTCATGGGAGGCAGCCCGCTAGCCTTTGCGGGTTGATTGCCTTCACCTCATAACTTCTCTTTTGCCTGCATTACAAAGCACTTTCACATGACTTTTCTTTCTTTCCTTTTTTTTTTTTGAGATGGAGTCTTGCTCTGTCAACCAGGCTGGAGTGCAGTGGTGCAATCTCGGCTCACGGCAACCTCTGCCTCCTGGGTTTAAACAATTATTGTGCCTCAGCCTCCCAAGTAGCTGGTACTACAGGTGCCCACCACCAAACCCAGCTAATTTTTGTATTTTTGGGACAGATGGGGTTTCAACAGGTTGGCCAGGCTGGTCTCAAACTCCTGACCTCAGGTGATCTACCTGCCTTGGCCTCCCGAAGTGCTGGGATTACAGGCATGAGGCACCACACCTGGCCTCACATGACTTTTCTCACTGGATTGCTGCCGTTTACCTAGGAAGGCCAAGCAAATACTGTCTCCCAGCTGCAGGTGAAGAATTCTGCCTAAGCTCAGAGAGGTCAAGGGTAGTGACTCATCCAAGATTGAGCAACTTGCCCAGGCTAGTAAGTGATGAAGCCAGGACTTGAAGCCAAAGCTTCTGACTCCATCCTTACACGCACATGGCTCCTGACACACAGCCTTTGTCTACCGGCCCTCTCCACCCAGGTGTGCAGTCCGTCAACTTAGATAGAGGAGGAAGTGAAATGAAAAGTAACCCTGCTTTGCAGTCTTGTGAATTATTAGGTTGGTGCAAAAGTAATTGCGGTTTTTGCCATTAAAAAAAGCCTAATAATTTTTTGCCAGTCCTGCTTTGGAAAGCTGTTATCTGCAATGAAACATGGGCTTTGTGGTCTCATAAAGAACATGTTCCAAGTTGGTAAATATTAAGTTGGGCTGTAATATGAATGGCTCATGCAGTATGAATGGCTGACAATCTGTGATTCTACAGAGTCAGAAACAACCTCTGTTGAGATTGCATCGAATCCAGAAGACACTTGGGACTCTAAGATGTGGCTGCGGAAATATGGCTTGAAGGCCCAGAAGCTGTCCCTGTATGATGTCCTTGCTGACTGCTCTTTTCGCCACGCTGATGGGGTTGTAGATATAAAAGCCAAACCGGAGAACGAGTCCGTGCAGACCAGTGCGGTAGGTGAAGTGTGCTCCTGGGAGGGGGTTGGCCTCCTCAAGCCCTGGGTGGGTGAGGTCTCCCTCAGGTCAGAAGGCAGGGGAAGAACCACTGTGGGGGGTGGCAGGGACAGAAACCAGCTTGGGTTTCTGTGAAGAAGGGGGTTCCTCTGCTTCTCTCCTCCCCCTTCTCCAAAGACCATCTGTGGGAGTGGAGATCAAGGCTGGGAATGATTTCTAGACGTCAGTGAATTGTACATAAGCCAGGGGCTGGGCTTGGAAAAAATGAGGCATTATGAGTCTCAGAATTATTCAGTATTATGCAAATAGAGAAGCCCTTTGTTCCCCCATATCGAATGTAAAAAAGAGAAACGGCTGGTTAGTATATCCAACGCGGCCGGTGTTTCTGTAGTCCTCTTGCGTTTTCTTCCCCTCATTATTCCAGTGACTAGCAGCCAGCATACAGTACAGTCCCAGCAAATATGGAATCAGATTCTCCAAAGGGTCATAGCCATTAGAAATGCTGAAGTGGCAGTTCCACTGTGGGCTGTGCAGGAATGCAGCTTCTCCTACTGCCCGACTCTGGCTCCCGACGAAGGACAGTGCTTGACAGCCGTGTTTCCTAAACTCCGCCACCATGCCTATGAGTCAGTGGGTCCGAAGTGGGCCCGAGAATTTGCATCCATAACAATCCCCAGATGATGCTGATGCTGCTGATCCAGGGGCCACACCTTGAGACACAGAGAGGTGTGGAACAGGGGCTAGAAGATGAGGTGTCAAAGGTTTAGAAGCGTGGAAAGAGTAAGCAGTGTCCAATATGAACCAGAAATCAGGATAAAATGAACATGGCAGATTTGCAAAACCAAAGGAAAGCCCTTTCAGGAGGTGGCAAAGTCCCAGGAACACACTGTGAAGTAACCTTAAAATGCAAGCCCCGGGCAGACAGGCAGGTGACCACAGCCCAGGGGAGACACCAGGGAGAGAAATCAAGGCCCCTCTCAAATACAGTGTCACCTGGTGTATTGATATACAAATGAATACAGTGTCACCTGATGTATTCATATACAAATGAATACAGTGTCACCTCAAATACAGTGTCACCTCATGTATTCTTGAAGGCTCCGATTCAATGTCAAGGTCTTTACTGAGGTGTAGCTCCAGCAGAGGTGGAACTCCAGTCCCATTGCCACTTTTTATTAGGCGGGCCCGACACTGAGCCCCACACACCCTCCATGGGAAGGGCACTGTCCTCTGGGGCTGTGTAAGCCACATCACATGGTGTTCTTGCCCCCCCCACTGCTGTGTATTTATGACAAACTACAAGGAGGAAAATATAAAAATTGAATTAGAAAAATGCAGAATTGATGCAAGACTTGTTTCCTGGCTTACCCGAGGATGCAGAGTAATTGCTACAGTGCAGGGAAAATCATATTTGTGGGTTTCCTCCCCCAGCACAGTTTTCTGGTTTTATAGACATTATTCAGTAATGTTCAGGAAATCATATGTAACTAGATTTTAATTTTAAAAATAGGCCAGGCACAGTGGCTCATGCCTGTAATCCCAATAGTTTGGGAGGCCAAGGCGGGTGGATCACTTGAGGTCTGCAGTTCGTGACCAGTCTGGTCAACATGGTGAAACCCCATCTCTACTAAAAAAATAAAGCTAGGCATGGTGGCTAATGCCTGTAATCCCAGCACATTGGGAGGCCAAGGTGGGTGGATCACGAAGTCAAGAGCTCAAGACCATCCTGGCCAATGTGGTGAAACCCTGTCTCTACTAAAAATACAAAAATTAGCTGGGCATGGTGGCATGCACCTGTAGTCCTAGCTACTTGGGAGGCTGAGGCAGGAGAATTGCTTGAACCTGGGAGGCGGAGGTTGCAGGGAGCCAAGATCGTGCCACGGCCACTCCACCTTGGCGCCTGATGACAGAGCAAGACTGTGTCAAAAAGAAAAAAAATTAGCCAGGTGTGGTGGCACATGCCTATAAATCCCAGCTACTTGGGAGGCTGCGGCAGAACTTGGGAGGCGGACATTGCAGTGAGCCGAGATCGCGCTATTGTACTCCAGCCTGGGCAACAGAGTGAGACTTCATCTCAAAATAAAGTAAAATAAAATAAATATGCATTAGACCTTGGATTTCAAAATATTAATCCCCAACTATTTGAACATAGCTTACTGCAAACTCATGATAATGTGGTATATTCAAGCTAGCTCTAATACTGATCATCTCGTAACTCTTTCTTGGCAATTTTAAATGCCATACTGAAATTGGATTCACACCTAAAATTGTGATGTGTATAAAGTAGGGAGAAACTAAGGCTGTAAAATAGGTAGATTATTTAGGGTTCCCCCAAACTCCCACTGGGCAAGACCCCCTAAATATTTAACATAAAAACTAGGTTTTTTTTGTTAAATATTTTGAAAAAAATATACAAATTATACAATTGAAAAAATATACAAAACTAGTTTATAGTTTTTATTGTTAAAGACCCAGGAAACTAATTAACACTGAGAAATGAATGGTTAAAAAGGCCAGCTTTTGTAGCAGTTGAAAGACAATGAACAATTGGGAGGAGGAGACAAACATACATTTCTAAAGGGAATTTCAGGCCAAGTCTAAGAACCTGGTATTTCGGGCACCCCTGAAATCACACTGCATGCACAGTTGCTTGCTGCTTGTGTACAAAACCAGCCTTGGTGTTCAAAAACCCATTCTTGTCTCTTCATCTGATTTTCAGACAAGTTTTTATGGAGCCCCTACTATGTACCAGGCCATGCTATATGGCGGAAGGCACACTGGATATGGATGAGACGTTCTAGCTATAAATGCTGCTTCTACTAGTTACTGACAATGAGATGTTGAACAAATCACTTGACTTCTTGGACTTTACCCTTCATATTTGTGAAATGGGTAGTGTAAGGTGCAAATTTACAAATGCATGTCTGAGCACAGTGCCTGGCACAAAAAGAGATGCCCCACACTTTTGGTGGGGTTGTTTGTTGTTGTTGTTGTTTGGTAAATTTGTTTAAGTTCTTTGTAGATTCTGAATATTAGCTCTTTGTCAAATGGGTAGACAACAAAAATTTTTTCCCATTCTGTTGGTTGCTGATTCACTCTAATGATAGTTTCTTTTGTTGTGCAGAAGCTCTTAAGTTTAACTAGATCCCATTTGTCTATTTTGGCTTTTGTTGCCATTGCTTTCGGTATTTTAGTCATGAAGTCCTTGCCCATGCCTATGTCCTGAATGGTTTTGCCTAGGTTTTCTTCTAGGGTTTTTATGGTGTTCGGTCTTACGTTTAAATCTTTACTCCATCTGAGTTAATTTTTGTGTAAGGTGTAAGGAAGGGATCCAGTTTCAGGTTTCTGCATATTGCTAGCCAGTTTTCCCAACACCATTTATTAAATAGGGAATCCTTTCCCTGTTGCTTGTTTTTATCTGGTTTGTCAAAGATCAGATGGGTTGTGGATGTGTGGCGTTACTTCTAAGGCCTCTGTGTTCCCTTGGTCTATATCTCTGTTTTGGTACCAGTACCATGCTGTTTTGATTACTGTAGCTTTGTAGTATAGTTTGAAGTCAGGTAGCATGATGTCTCCAGCTTTGTTTTTTTGGTTCCATGTGAAGTTTAAGGTGTTTTTTTCCAATTCCATGAAGAAAGTCAATGGTAGCTTTTTTTTTTTTTTTTTCCAGAATATACAATGCTGGTTATCCTCCTACCTTGTTGGCTATTTTTTCCTCAGTCTTCTTTGTGACTTCTTCCCCATGTCCCAACCTGTCAATGCTGGAGGACCTCTGATCGCTCTCTGTCTACACTCATTTCCCAGATGGTCTTCTCCAGTCCCATGGCTTTTAATCATCTGTGCATGCCAGGGACTTCAAAATGTACCCCTCCAGCCCTGTGACCTTCTCTGATCTCACTGACTACTGCTGTGCTACGTGGATGTCTAATCGGCACCTTGAACCTGAGACATCAGATGCTAACTCTTGATCTTTCCCATTCAAAGCTGCTCTCCACAACCTTCCTCCTATCAACTGATTGCAACTCTACCCTTCAGATCCCAGCCTGAAACCTCAGGGTTGTTCCTGACTTCTCTCTTTTCTTATATGACATCTGATCTCTCAGTGAATGCTGTTGGTTCTGTCTTCAGAACAGACCTGTCATTCAGGATCGACTGCTTCTTGCCATGGTCTTTGCTGCCCAGGCCAAGCAACTCTGTGACCTACTGGCTCTTCACTTCTGCCCTTGGTCCTCAGCAGTCCAGTTGGCTTTACAGAGTAACCAGAGTTGTGCTGTGAAATCATAAATCAGACGTATTGCTGCTCTGTGAAAGCCCTGGGAGGAGTCCTTTTTCACTCAGAGCAAAAGCCAAGTCATTTCTGACAGCCGTCAGGCTTTATGGGACCTGCTCCTGGTCCTCCCTCTTCGTGTGTCCTGGCTTCTCTCACTCTCTCTCCCCTCCCTTGCTTTTCCTTTGGCAATATTGGCCTTCCTAAAATTTGACAAGCATGCTGGGCAGACTCCCAGCTCAGGCCTTTGCTATTGCTGTGTCTTCTGACCTCACTCCAGCCTCCCTATGGCACACTGTTCCTCCAGGCCTTCACTCCTAGTGCACTGTCTCTGGGAGGCTTTCCTGCAAGGTTCTAACTCTTCCCATCTCTCCTTCTCTTCCTCCGCTCTCTACTCTTCCCCCTTGCCTTACCCACCTGCCATCCTCTGACCTAGTGTGTCGTGATTTGCTTATACTGGGCTACCATCCTGCACTCTGAACTCATGAAGGCAGGGGTTTGGTCATTGTGTGTGTTTGTATTCCTAGCCTCTAGAAGGTCTCCCAGAGGGAGGAGCACTGGATGAGTGGCCATGGGCCGAGTGATGGAGGCCTACTGAGGAGGCTCACTTCATCTATCCTGGTTGAGGGTGCTAGATGTCCAGTTGGGGTTCTTGGCAGGAAATAGGATTCATGTGAGTTTCAGTCCCACCTTCTCCAGAATGCTCCATGATTGTCTAGTCTACTGTGAGATCTGCTGCTCTCTCTTCTTTACCAGGACTTGCCAGGTCTTTCCTGTGTCAACCCAGTTCCAGGGACTAAGTATCTAATTCTTTGCATTGCTACCTCTCTCTCTCTCTCTGTATGTGTGTGCATGTGTGTGTTGGCGGGGAGTGTCTTTGTGCTGGAATCATTAGGTTTTCTGGGGCACGGATGTGATCACACATGTCTTCTGGCCCATGTTCATGACCCTAGTGCAGGGCTCCATAGGGAGCAGGCAGCGGAACATATTTGGTTGAACTAACGAGAAATGATTGATGGTAGAGTGAGTGCTAAGAGCCATTTGAATATGATAGAGCCAGAAGGTGCCATCTGGAGACTCCTCTTTGGACAGTTACCTGAGTGGCTTCTGTCCTTTGTCCTCTCCTTAGGAGACCAATAGGAAGATAGTCCATGCAAAATATTGCAGCAGGTTTGTCCATGCTCCCTGGAAGGATGGGAGTTTGGTCCACGTCAACATTACCAAAGAGAAATGCAAGTGGTACAGTGAGAGAATCCACACAGCCCTGGCCCGGATCCAAAGGAGGTTGGTGTTATTTACAGGAGGGTACAATTGGTCTCCTTGCTCTGGAAATTCACGTCTGCTTGATCTTTTACTCCCTTTTATTATTAGCTGATACATAATGATTGTACCTATTATATGATACAGAGTGATAATGAGATGTGTGTATACAGTGTATAAAGATCAAATCAGGGCAACTCACATATGCATCACCTCCAACACACATCATTTCTGTATGTTGTGAACATTCACAATTCTCTCATTTCACTTTTTTAAAAATATACACTAAATTACAGGTGACCATATTGACCCCCCAGTGCTGCAGAACACCAGAGCTTGTTCCTCATATTGGGCTAAACTTTTCTATTTGCTAACCAACCGGCCCATCCTCTCTCCTGCCTATCCCAGCCTCCAATACAATTCTACTCTCTACCTCTATACGTTCAGATATTTTTGGCTCCCACATATGAATGAGAACATGAGGTATTTATCTTTCTGTGCCTGACTTATTTTGCTTAACATAATGTCCTGTAGGCTCATCCATGCTGCTGCGAAGGACAGAATTTTTTTCTTTTTTATGGTTGAGTAGTACTCCATGGTGTATAAATACCATGAAGTTAATTTAAGCTGCACTCTAAATGCAGATATTATTCAATGGTATTTAATATTTTACATTGTAACAGTTGCCTGTTGGGGTATTACCCACTGTGTTACATATTCCTCTGTACACTTGAATATTACATTTTGAGGCAACTGCTATAATGTAAAATATTAAATATCATTGAATAATATCTGTATTTTAGAATGCAGCTTAAAATCACTTCATGTGATTTCACACAACCCTGCTGGGCCTTTAAAATGTGTTAATGCTCGTGAGTGTGGATACTAATGCTGTGACCTAAGGTGGCCTCAGGGGATGATCTATCTTTTTTTTTTTTTTTGAGATGGAGTTTCGCTCTTGTACCAGGCTGGAGTGCAATGGTGTGATCTTGGCTCACCGCAACCTCCACCTGCCTGCTCCTCCCAGAGCCAAAGGCAGTTTTAGACCAGAAGACCAAAGGCATTTAGATCATAGGCTCTGAGGTCAGAGAGAGCTGGATTCTAATCTCAGAACTGCCACTTACTGTGTGACCCTGGCAGGTTTGTTAATGCCTTTATGCACCATTATCCTTGTTTATAAAGTGGGATTAGTAATATTATTTATAAGTTTGTTCTAGGGATTAGATCAGACACTAAATCTAATGAGTTTTAAGCTAGTATCGATATGAATGGCTATTTGAAAATGAGAGCTCCTTTCTGTGCCTGGCTTATTTAACCTAACATAATTTTCTTTCAGGTTCATCCATGTTGCCAGAAGGGAGAAGATTTCACTCTGTTTTATGGCTAACTAGTATTCCATTGTGTATGTGTGTGTGTATATATATACGTACACATACATGCGTACACATCATGTTTCTTTATATTCAGTCTTCATTACATGGGCATTTAGGTTGATTCTATATTTCTGGTACTGTGAATAGCACTGCAAGAAATGTGTATATGCCAGAGTCTCTTTGACATGCTGATTTATGTCCTTTGGAGATATACCTAGAAATGATATTGCTGGATCGTGTAGTAGTTCTGTTTTCACTTATTTTTTTAAGGGACCTCCATACTGGTTTCCGTGATGGCTGTACTAATTTATATCCCCATCAGTGTATAAGAACTCCCTTTTCTCTACATCCTCGCTGGCATTTTTTTTTTTTGTCTTCTTGATAATAACTATTTAGCTGGGGTGAGGTGCTATCTCTTTGTGGTTTTGATTTGATGATTAGTGCTATTGAATGTATATTCACAAATCTGTTGGTTTCATATATTGTATGTCTTCTTTTGAGAAATGTCTGTTCAGATCTTTTGTCCATTTTAAAATCAAATTATTGTGGGTCTTTCTTTCTTTCTTTTCTTTCTTTCTTCTTTCTTCTTTCTTTCTTTCTTTCTTTTTTTTTGCTGTTGAGTTCTTTTATAATCTGGATATTCGCCTGTTGAATGCATACTTTGCAATCCTTTCTCCCATTCTGTAGGTTTTCTCTTTCTTTATTGATGATTTCCTTGGCTGTGCGGAAGCTTATTACTTTGAGGTAATCCAATTTGTCTGTTTTTACTCCTGCTGTCTGTGCTTTTGGTCTTATTCAAAAAATCCCTGTCCAGTCCAATTTCATGAAGCGTTTCTTTTTCATCTTCAAACATCACATGATCTGACCCATATATGAATCCAAAAAAAGTTGTTTCACAGAAATAGACAATAAAATAGTGGTTTACCAGAGGCTGGGAGATGGCAGTGGGGAGGTGGAGGACCAGGGAGGTTGGTCAATGGGTACAAGTTATAGTTGGACAGGAAGAATAAGTTTTAGTGTTGTACTACACAGTAGGATGACTATAGTAAAAACAATGTAATGTACATTTCAAGAAGCTAGATAAGAAGGTTTTGAATGTTGTTACTGCAAAGAAACAATAAATGTTTAAAGTCATGGATATATAATTACCCAATTTGATTATTATATGCTGTCTGCATGCATTGAAACATCACATTGTACCCATAAAATAGTTATACAATTTATGATGTGTCAATTAAATAAAAATTAAATTTAAAAAGAAGGAAAATCAGAGCTCCTTCCTCCTCCTGTGTTTTCTATTACAAAACCATAAGGTGCAGACACCCTTCTGCCCTGTATTTACCCTAAGAGTGCCAGCCTCTCAAAAGCAGGTGGTGATGGATTACCCAGAACAAGAAATCCCTGTGTCTGGTGTCTTCTCTGCTTGTGGTTTTGGAGCTGACTCAGTGGAGCAGTCGTTGGGTTTCAGGTCTGGGAGAGAGGATGCTACTGGGAAAGCAGTTCACATGGCAGCTGCTGGGCCCATTCGTCCCTCTCTTCCTGCCAGATGTCAGCGAAGTTTTCTTCCTCTTCTGTTTTCTGGAAGACTTGTGAAGAATTGGTATCATCTCTGCTTTAATGTTGGTGGAATTCACCACTGAAGCCATCTGAGCCTGGAGTTTTCTTCCATTATGGGGAGGTTTTTAACAATACATTCAGTTTCTTTAAAAGCACACAGAGCTGATACTGATAATTTATGTCATATGTGTGTCATCAAGAAGAACCTTGAGAAACTTATGGATTGGCTTAGATGACCAATTTGAGATCTGTCTTTCTTTATAATGCAAGAACTTAATTTTATATATTTCTCTCTGAGTATTTCTTTAGCTGCTTTTCACAGATTTTGATATATTGCACTTTATTTTCAGTTACTTTAGAATATTTTCAAATTTTTCCCATCATTTCTTCTTTGACTAAAGGGTTATTTAGAAATGTGTGTGTTTAGGATGGGCACAGTGACTCATGTTTGTAATCCCAGAACGTTGGGAGGCAGAACAGAAGGTCAGGAGTTTGAGACCAGCCTGGCCAACATAGTGAAACCCTGTCTTTACTAAAACTACAAAAAATTAGCTGGATGTGATGGGGGTGGGGGTGCCTATAATCCCAGCTACTCAGGAGGCTGAGGCAGGAGAACACCTGAACCCAGGAGGCAGAGGTTGCAGTGAGCCGAGATCCTACCATTGCACCCCAGCCTGGGCGACAGTGCAAGACTCCATCTCAAAAAAAAAAAAAAAATGTTGTGTTTACTTCCCAAATATTTGTGGATTTTCCTAAGATGTCTTGTTGCTCTTGCTGATTTCTGTTTTAACTTTACTGTTAACAGAGAAATACTGTGTGATTCAATTCTTATAAATTTATTGGGACCTGTTTTATAGTACAAATTTTGGGGGAAAAAATCTGTTTTTGTTGGGTGGAATGTAATACAGGTATCAATTAGCTCAAGTTGGCTGATAATGTTGCTCAAGTCTCATATTATTACTGTTTCTCTAGTTGTTCTATAAATTATTGAGAAAGAGTGTTGAAATTTCCAATGTAGTCTTCAACTCTCATTTCAGTTCTGTTATTTCTTCATGTATTTTGAAGCTCTATTAATAGTTTCATGTATATTTAAGAGTGTTATGTTCTCTTGATGAAACCAACTCCTTTGTAATTATGAAATGTCCCCTTTTATCTCTGGTAATATTGCTTCTTCTGAAATTTATTTTGATAGCAGTTTAGCCACCCTACATGATTTTTTATTATTCTTATTTCTATCATTTTATTTTTACTTATCTGCATCCTATATTTAAATGGATTTCTTACAGATAGAAGATATATAATTATATATGAGCATTGTTTTATTATCCAAGCTAACAATCTTTGCCTTTTAACTGGAGTGCTAAGATCATTACATTTAAGGTGATTATTGATTTGATTGGATTTAAATCTAAGATTTTGCTATTTGTTTTTCTGGTTTTGTTCCCTTTTTACTTCTTTGGTTTGAGTATTTTTTATTATTACATTTTATCTCCACTATTGTCTTATTAGCTCTACCCGTTTTGTTCTGTTTTGATGTGTGTGTGTGTGGTGTGTGTGTGTGTGTGGTAAGTGACTATTTAGAATTTACAATCTGCATCTTATCAGTCACCCTACAAATAATATTATATCACTTCATGTAAATTATAGGAGTCTTACAACTTTCACTCCCACTTTCGTCCTTTCTACTGTTGTACACTTTACTTCTATACATCCTTTTACAATATATTGTAACTAAACAGTCAATTGTCTTGTAACTACATTAAAAATTAGAATAGATGTATTTTATATTTAACCACATACTTGATATTTCTGTTGCTTTTTACTCCTTTGTACCAGCTCCAGATTTCCATTTGGTATCATTTTTTTCCACCTGAAGAAGTTTCATTCATATTTCTGGCAGTGCAGGTCTGTTGGTGATGAATGAGCTGTTTTCGTCTGAAAAATTCTTTAATTTACCTTTATTTTTGAATGCTGTGTTTGCTAAGCATAAAATTCTGGCATTACAGTTCTATCTTTCAGTACTTTGAAAATCCTTTTCCATTGTCTCCTGGCTGGCATGATTTATGATTAGAAGGCTCCCATCATATTTTTGCTTGCTCTTCTACACATAATGTCTTTGGATGCTTTACAGATTTTTCTGTTTACATCTAGATTTTATCAGTTTTATTGAGATAAGCCTGGGTGTAGTTTATTTTTCTTCATCTTGGGTTCTTTGAGCTTCTTGGATCTGTAGCTGCATGATTTGGATCAAATTTAAAGCATTTTGGTCATATTTTTTCAAATATTTTCCTGCCTCTCCCTCTCCTCTCCCTCTTTGACTTTAATTACACATATGTTAGACTCCCTGGTGTTGTTCCACGGGCCAGCCACTAATCTCTCTGATGAAAGTGCTTTTGCCTTTTTTCTCTCTGTAAATTGTTTAACTTCAAATTGTTCCCTTTGCATTGTCTTTTGTTCCCTAATCTTTTCTTCTCCTAGTGTCTAATGTACTATTAATACCATGCAGTATATTTTAAATTTCAGATACTGTATCTCTCTACAAGTTTTATTTTGGTCTATCTAAGTATTTTCTATTTCTCTCCTCATTCTATTTATACTTTACCTTTTTGACCATATGAGTTATATTTGTAATAGCTGTGTAACATCCTTTTCTACTAATTCTATCCTCTGTGTCATTTTGGGGTCTGTTTCTGTCGATCAATTTGTCTTCTTGTTATGGATCATATTTTCCTGCTTCTTTGTATGCCTGGTAATGTTTTATTGGATGCTGGGCATTTTAACTTTACTTTGTCAGGTTCTGGATTTCACTGTATTTTTATATAAATGTTCTTAATGCAGTTAAGTTACTTAAAACCAGTTTGATCTCTCTAGGAATTGCTTTTCAGTTATGTTAGAATAGATCCAGGGTAGCCTTTAGTCCAGGGCTAATTTGGTTAAGGCAATACTCTTTTCAGAATGCTACTTGGTGCCCCGTGTATTAAGGAGGTTTTCCCACTTTGGCTGGTAGAAGATGAACTACTCCTAGCCATGTGTGAGCTCTGAAGGGTTGATCAGCTTACGCCTTTGGTGATTTCTTCCTTGACTTCAGTAGCTTTTTCACATGCATGCCTTGATCATTACTTAACCAAAATTTCGAGGGCATCCTTCTGCAGATCTCTGGACCATGCATGCTCTCTCTCTCTGTCTCCTCTCCTCTGTCCTGTGCAGTAATGTCCTTTCAATATTTTGCCATTCAACTTTTAGTTTCTTAGGCCTTGCTGAACTCTGAACTCAATTCAAATATTTTTTCCATCCTCTTTCCTCACCCCAGCCCTCCAGGCTTTGCCTGCGGCCGCAAAATTTATTTATTTACATTCTGTGATTGGGGACTTGAGCATGGACCGTAGAAGCAGTCCTTCTCACATAGCCACCTGGCCCTTGCTTATTACAGAGCTCTGGGGCTGCTTGATGCTGTCCATAACCTTCACTGAATCTTCAGGAATGTGCTGGCTTCACTAGTTTGACTGCAGTCAGCCAGATTAGAAGAACAAATGGTCTGAAGTCATAGCTGAGGTCCTTAAAAATATCAGATGACTAGATGTAATATATTTTTGACTTTGGCATCAACAATGGATTCATTTTTCTGTCATATTTATTTTCTTAGTTATTTTTTTACTTGGTTTCGTGATGGGTAGTGCATTCTACAGCCCAAATGTAGGATTTTCTACAGAAAACCCCAAAGTGAATGATTCATTCACAAAGATTGGATATAAACAACATAGCACAGTTCTGTCTTCTGCAGATGCATCATTAAGTTCTCAGGAAGATGCTCTTGTTATTGCAGGCTCTCACCATTCACTTTCAACCTACTTCCTGTCTAGGATTAAATGGCTACAGGATGGGAGTCAAAGCCTCTTTGGACAATTGCATAATGATTGCATCTACATTCTCATTGACACATCTCACTCAATGAAGAGCAAACTGGATTTGGTGAAGGACAAGATCATTAAGTTCATACAGGTTGGATGGAACTGTCAGATCATGCATGCATTTACAATTTTGTGTATCATAAATGGATCATCATGAAGCATTGCCTGTGATGGTTATGAGCAGTGGACAGGGGCTTGTTGCACTAAAAAGTCCCTAAGAAACTCAAATTCAGAGAAAGGCTCCCTTTGCCAGTTAGAGAATCATCAGTTCTCCTTTGCAAATAGACCCTTTCTCTGGTGAATTCTTTCTGCCATGCATGAGTTGCTTAAGGGAGTTGCTATATTTGTTGTTCAGGTTTTCTCTGTAGTGAAATTGGTTATATACACACACTTCTGTTGTCTTCCAGATACGCCTCATCTTAGCACTTTTAATTTCAAATGTTGATTAGGGATACTGTGTGCCCTGGCACATGGGAGGAGTGCAGGCTGGTGTTTAGAAGCTTCTAGTTTTTATTCTGCCTGTGCTGCCTCCGAGTTGTGTGACCTGAAGCAGGTTGCTCAAGTGCCCTAACTCCTAGCGTCCACACCTGCCAAATGCCATCACAGTACTGTGTGAGTTTGCAGCATTGATGTAGGTATTAACCGTAGTTATTATAATAGTAGTGAGTGTTTGAGAAACACAAAATACACTTTTTAATTTAGCAAAGCTCTGCTGGAGAAATATGAGCAAGCAAATAAAGTTGTAACTGAATAATGGCTTTACCCAAAAGATAACGACTGAAGTGATGATATTGTTTTAGATTTTGTTTCCTTAAGCATATTGTGTTTGGTGTTAGTATTAAAATCAATATTTAATGTCACATTATATCTATAAACTTTTACATATATGTGACATATGTATATTCATACAACCATATATATATTTGTAAAGGTCTTAACACAAAAACTGGATAAATTTTATTTAAATGCCCTTTGTACTAGATATGATATTCTCTATTGAATATAATTTTTTGCTTCTTGAACTGAAAATAGATATCACAGTGATTAAAATATATCAAACTGTGACCTACCCTAACCCTTTCTTACATTTGAGTGGTTTTACGGTTAAATAATCACTGTTTCTTTTAGGAACAGCTGAAATATAAAGTAGGTTTAATTTTGTGAAGTTTGATGGTCAAGCAGTTGCTTGGCGGGAACAACTTGCTGAAGTCAATGAAGAGAATTTGGAACAGGCTCAGTCCTGGGTTAGAGACATGAAGGTAAGATGGAGACTAAGCTGGGAGAAGCCTAGGGGTCTCTCACCTGTGTACTGAATTTATTCACAGGACAGACATTCTTGAGAGGTGTTTTGCACTCCCAGGATGGAAGTGGCTTGGTATAGGCTTTTGTTTTGCGTGCAATGGTCAAGTTAATCCAATCTCATTTGTCAATATCATAAAGTTTAGATGAGCCTCTTGTTCTTATCTATTCACAGTTCTCTATTTCCAGCTCTGCCCTTGCCTCAAGTTGTAGCCCCCTTATGAAAACATATTTCAGAACAGATATTGTTTTTTGTTTGTTTGTTTGTTTTTTTGAGATGGAGTTTCACTCTTGTTGCCCAGGCTGGCGTACAATGGCTCATTCTTGGTTCACTGCAACCTCCGCCTCCTGGGTTCAAGCGATTCTACTGTCTCTGCCTCCCAAGTAGCTGGTATTACAGGCATGTGCCAACAACACTAATTTTTTGTATTTTTAGTAGAGATGGGGTTTCACCATGTTGGCCAGGATGGTCTCGATCTTTTCACCTCGTGATCCACCTGCCTCGGCCTCCCAACAGATTTTGTTTTTTAACTCAGACATTCAGAGTTGTTTCTTCTGAAATTTCATTATTGTTGCAAAAGATATATTTTAGCTATTCTTATCAGTGGGCTTGTTCAACAGTAAGGAGCATGTGGAAATATGCAGTACAATCTGAATGTTTAGGACTGAACGCAAGAAGAGAGCTAGGGCAGGAGGTGAATAATTTCCTCAGAAGTGACTGCTTTTGGCATTTATACAGACTATTGGGAAGGATTTTCCTTGCTGTAAATTTTCTTATCTTGAACTTACCTTAATTTTAATAACATATAGCATTATAACATTCCAAATATTTGAGATACACTAAAATTGAGACCAAGAGTTGTTCTTAAAAAGTCAAATATGATCGGGCGCGGTGGCTCAAGCCTGTAATCCCAGAACTTTGGGAGGCTGAGGCGGGTGGATCACAAGGTCAAGAGATCGAGATCATCCTGGTCAACTTGGTGAAACCCCGTATCTACTAAAAATACAAAAAATTAGCTGGGCATGGTGGCATGTGCCTGTAATCCCAGCTACTCAGGAGGCTGAGGCAGGAGAATTGCCTGAACTCAGGAGGCAGAGGTTGCGGTGAGCCAAGATCGTGCCATTGCACTCCAGCCTGGGTAATAAGAGTGAAACTCCATCTCAAAAAAAAAAAAAAAAGTCAAATATAAGCGCTAGACATAGTGGTGCACACCTGTAGTCTCAGCTCCTTGGGAAGCTGATGTAGGAGAATCATTTGAGCCCAGCAATTTGAGTCCAGTTTGGGCAACAGAGCAGGGCGCCATCTCTTTTTTTAAAAAAAGGCAAGTATGTATCACAGACATCTTTAAAATATTTTAGTGCCTAAGTTTAGAGTCTTATATTTGACAGAAAATCACGAATAGACATTAGCAGCTCATTGAGATGCACTAGGATTCCCTTGTATTTGTTTTTAAAAATGAGAGAAGGAGAAAATCTGTTCTATAAGAAATAATAATGTCTGTAAGATTTAAATTTAACTGGCCATCTTATCCTGGGAAATAGTGCTGAATTCATACTCAACTTGTTAAATTTCCAGTTAACCAGTGAAGTTACTTGTGACGTATATTCTCTCCTTTTATTACAGAATAATAGGAAATACCTTGTTAACTCAAGAGCCTACTAATTTAGGGTTTGTGATAACAAGATATTACATATGTAATCTCATTGGATAAAAACCATCATTGGGTTCTACTTTATGTAAAAATCACTAGGGAATAGAGTCAGCCATCTATTCAGATTTTAGCCATTTGGCTAAAAACACATATTCCTGTAAAACATGATTCTGTTCTCCTTACAGATTTTCACTGATACACCCTTTCTAGCTTGATGAGTGTCCAAAATTAATTTCCAAAAGGACCAAGGATTAAAAACATGTGGTATATATACACAATGGAATACTACACAGCTTAAAAAAAGAAGGAAATCCTGTTATCTGCAACAACCTGAATGAACCTGGAGGACATTATATTAAGTGAAATAAGGCAGGCAGAGAAAGAAGAATACCACATGATCTCACTTATATTTAGAATCTAAAAATGTCAAAGTCATAGAAGCAGTGTGTAGAATGGTGCTTACCAGAGGCTGGGAGCAGAGTGAAGGGTGGGAATGGAAAAATGTTGGTCAAACGGTACATAGTTTCAGTTAGACAGGAGGAATACTTTCTGGAGATCTGTCATACAGCATGGTGACTATAATTAATAACAATGTGTTTTATAATTGAAAATTGTCAAAAGAGTAGATTTTTTTTTAAATTGTACTTTAGGTTCTGGGGTATATGTGCAGATCATGTAGGATTGTTGCATAGGTACATACATGGCAATGTGGTTTGTTGCCTCCATTCCCCCGTCACCTATATCTCGCATTTCTCCCCGTGTAATCCCTCCCCAACCTCTCCACCCCCCCTGCTATTCCTCACCTGGCCTCCGCTAACAGACCCCAGTGTGTGATGCTCCCCTCCCTGTGTCTGTGTGTTCTCATTTTTCAGTATCCCCCTATGAGTGAGAACATGCGGTATTTCATTTTCTGTTCTTGTGTCAGTTTGCTGAGAATGATGGTTTCCAGATTCATCCGTGTCCCTTCAAAGACATGAACTCATCATTTTTTATGGCTGCACAGTATTCCATGGTGTGTATGTGCCACATTTTCCATGTCCAATCTATCATTGGTGGGCATTTGGGTTCCTTTCAGTTCTTTGCTGTTGTATACAGGGCTGCAATGAACATACATGTGCATGTGTCTTTATAGTAGAATGACTTATAATCCTTTGGGTATATACCCAGTAATGGGATCACTGGGTCAAATGGAATTTCTATTTCTAGGTCCTTGAGGAAGCACCACACTGTATTCCACAGTGGTTGAACTAATTTACACTCCCACCAAACAGTGTAAAAGTGTTCCTATTTCTCCAGTCGTCTCCAGCATCTGTTGTCTCCAGATTTTTTAATGATCACCATTCTAACTGGCATGAGGTGGTATCTCAATGTCATGTTGATTTGCATTTCTCTAATAACCAGTGATGATGAGCATTTTTTCTTATGTTGGTTGGCCTCATATATGTCTTCTTTTGCAAAGTGTCTGTTCATATTCTTTGCCTATTTTTAGATGGGTTCGTTTGTTTTTTTCTTGTAATTTTGTTTTAGTTCTTTGTAGATTCTGGATATTAGCCTTTGTCAGATGGTCAGATTGCAAAATTTTTTTCCCATTCTGTTGGTTGCCAGTTCACTCTAATGATTGTTTCTTTTGATGTACAGAAGCTCCAGAGTTGAATTAAGTCCCATTTGTCTATTTTGGCTTCTGCTGCCAATGCTTTTGGTGTTTTAGTCATGAAGTCCTCACCTATGTTTACGTCCCGAATGGTTTTGCCCAGGTTTTCTTCTAGGGTTTTTATGGTGTTAGGTCTTATGTTTAAGTCTTTAATCAATCTGGAGTTAATTTTAGTGTAAGGTGTTAGAAAGGGGTCCAGTTTCTGCTTTCTGCACATAGCTAGCCAGTTTTCCCAACACCATTTATTAAACAGGGAATCCTTTCCCCATTGCTTATTTTTGTCAGGTTTGTCAAAGATCAGATGGTTGTAGATGTGTGGCAGTGCCTCCGAGGCCTCTGTTCTGTTCCATTGGACTATGTCTCTGTTTTGGTACCAGTACCAAGCTGTTTTGATTACTGTAGCCTTGTAGTATAGTTTGAAGTCAGGTAGGGTGATGTCTCCAGCTTTGTTTTGCTTAGGATTGTCTTGGCTATGCGGGCTCTCTTTTGGTTCCATATGAATTTTAAAGTGTTTTTTTTCTAGTTCCATGAAGAAGGTCATTGGTGGCTTGATGGGGATAGCATGGAATCTGTAAATTACTTTGGGCAGTATGGTAATTTTCACGATATTGATTCTTCTTAACCATAAGCATGGAATGTTTCTCCATCTGTTTGTGTCCTCTCTTATTTCCTTGAGCAGTGGTTTATAGTTCTCCTTGAAGAGGTCCTTTACATCCTTTGTTAGTTGTATTCCTAGGTATTTTATTCTCTTTTTAGCAATCGTGAATGGGAGTTCACTCATGATTTGGCTCACTTTAAGTCTGTTATTGGTATATAGGAATGCTTGTGGTTTCTGCACATTGATTTTGTATCCTGAGACTTTGCTGAAGTTGCTTAACAGTTTCACAAGATTTTGGGCTGAGATGATAGGGTCTTCTAAATATACAATCATATCATCTGCAAATAGAGACAATTTGACTTCCTCTTTTCCTAACTGAATACTCTTTATTTTTTTTTCTTGCCTGATTGCTCTGGCTAGCACTTCCAATACTATATTGAATAGAAGTGGTGAGAGAGGGCATCCTTGTCTAGTGCTAGATTTCAAACAGAATGCTTCGTGATGGATAAGCTTTTTGATGTGCTGTTGCAATTGGTTTGGCAGTATTTTATTGAAGATTTTTGCATCGATGTTCATCATGGATATTTGCCTGAAGTTTTCTTTTTTTGTTGAGTCTCTGCTGGGTTTTCGTATCAGGGTGATGTTGGTCTCATAAAATGATTTGGGAAGGATTCCCTCTTTTTGTATTGTTTGGAATAGTTTCAGAAGGGATGGTACCAGTTCCGCTTTGTATGTCTGGTAGAATTCGGCTGTAAACCTGTCTGGACCTGGACTTTTTCTGGTTGGTAGGCTATTAATTGCTACCTCAACTTCAGCCTTTGTTATTGGTCTGTTGAAGGTTTCAACTTCTTCCTGGTTTAGGCTTGGGAGAGTGCCAGTGTCCAGGAATTTATCCATTTCTTCCAGGTTTACTGGTTTATGTGCACAGAGTTGTTTGTAGTAATCTTGATGGTAATTTGTATTTCTTTGGAATCTGTGGTGATATCCCATTTATCATTTTTTATTGCATCTATTTGATTCTTCTTCCTTTTTTATGAATCTGGCTAGCGGTCTATTTTT